CGTAACACACATAAAAAAAAAAATAAAAAATAAAAATATACCGACGAATTGAATACCTCCTTCTTTTGGGAAGTCGGTCAAAAATAAAGGAATTTGCTCCAATGGTGTTAGTTTTTCATCGAGTCTATCTTAATAAGACATTTTAAGACAATGTCAGTAAAATACAAGGAAATTTGTGACTTCACTAGACGTTTACACTTAAAAATTCTACAAAAAACTTCATCGGATGGTTTTGACCTTGACAAGGGCACTGCCGCACCCTAAAAATCCTGGCAGAAAAAAAGTCTATTTACCAGTTCCTGTAGAAGTCAGTTTGCAAGACAGCCCCATAGCATGTGCTTCCGTGCCTGTGATCAACCGACCTGTCATCAACAGATCTAGTGCACGTGACAGCCCTATCAGACTTGTCAAACGTCGCGCACCGTATATACTTTGTGGCACCCCTAGAATAAATTGATTCTTTTTAAAATTGGTTGTATAGCCTAACGAGGAATATAAAACCATATTGGAAAAATGTATCACGCTACTAATATTGGAAAAATGTATCGCGATAAAAAAATGTATCTCTTTGCTTCACTCAGTGAGGTAGCGTTTTAATGGTGCAAGTATTTTTTATGTTGGTTTAGTAGTTTTAGAGTTATTTTCATTCATAGATAAATTCAAATATTTCCTTATTATAAATCAGTTTGGATTTGTAAGAAAAGACTTTGTGGCATTGTAAGGAACAAGGTAATTTTTTTTTATATCATAAGGTGGCAAACGAGCAAGCAGCCACCTGAATCCGCCAAAATGGCGAAGCGACTGCTGCCCATAGACATTCGCAATTGCAGATGCGTTGCCGACCCTTATCCGACGGAGAAGACGTACATAAAGAGGATATTTCCCCTTCCTATGCATCTCCTCCACCATCAAATCCACTTCCCCTTCCCATCCTCTCCTTATGAGATAAGGGTGGTAAAGAGAAAGGGACTTAAATTAGGCCTCCGTCACCACACTCATCAGACGAAACACGGATTTGCTTCCATTTCACGCCTGTCTTCTGTGTGGTCGTGGTATTACACCGGGCGTTCCGGCCTATTCGTGCTAAGATGTTAAAGCGGGCACTACCACTGTAAAATAGGGTAATGCTTTAATGAGGTGGATTTCCATCACTGTACATGAGACATTTATGTAAAAGAGAAGCAGTTGGATGTTTTAACTTACCAAACCTTCTGCCTAAACAACCGACAACCGCAGTATCCTCAATTATACGTAAATCACAAGCTAATGATAGTTCAAATCCTTCCGCCACTGCATATCCAGTTACTGCAGCTATAGTGGGCTTATCACATAGTGGCCGTCGAAGTAGCCGAGACTGAAAAATCAAAGAAAACTAAAATAAAAAAATTTGAACCTAATCCAGTTTTAAGATAATGAGAGTGACTGAATTTCAGTGCACAAATTTGTTAGAGTTTGCTTGCTAACTGTCTGAACAGATCTTGATGAAATTTGACATAGGTTTAGGCATAGTCTTTAAGAACACATAGGCTACTTAGCGTTTTTTTTTAAATTCCATATGAAGAAAGTCACAGTTAATACTTAGTTTCCTAATATTATTTGCAACCATTTCAGATGAGCTTTAAAAAGCTTGTTATTGTTCACAACAATAGTAAAATGGTAATTTGAACCCAAAAGTGCTAATTTGGTAGCCTTTACTCGAAACAATTATGCTATTAAGCCCGCCCACAACTCCAACCATGTGGAATTAAAAAAAAAAACAAGTGAGTAGCTGATGTGTTCTTCCAGACTATCCTCTACATCTGTACCAGATTTAGTCAAAATCTGTTGAGTCATTTAGGCTACAAGCTCTAATAAACATCCATGCATCTAAACTTCTCATTTATAATATTAGTATAAAATATGATAGCATGATTGCTTTCTTTTTTCATTGAATAATGAGAAATGGTTTAAATATAAATTAATATTTAACTTACAGCTGCATCCCGTAGTGTATTATAACCTTTTGCTCCCATATCATCCAGGTCAAACCCAGAGCAAAATGTCCCACCTTCTCCATTAAACACCAGCACCTTGGCCTCAGCATCCTTATCAAAGGCATTTATTGCAGCTGTCATTTCACGCAGTGTGGCTTCATCCAGACTGTTTCTAGACTTCTGACGGTCTATGTTCAATGTGGTGATACCTCCATATTTCTCAATTGTTATATCTGAAAGAAATATCCTAGATTAGTATAACATTTAACAATTATGAGTTTTTTTTTGTAAGAATCATACTCAAAATTTTATAAAGTGCGCGTCATGATTGTAATTTTTAAACAGCCCTTTTATCTTACGGCTTCTACATCTGTACCGAAAATAATGGTTTTAAAACCAACTAGTTAAATTGAAGAGTACATACTTTTAACAATTTCTTCAGCTTTTTGATCTTGCTCTTGTTTTTGGGTATCATTTGACGCGAATCGAATAATGTTAATACGTGAAAATGAAACATTTTTGGATAAAATAACTCTTAACATAGATTTCATGATGTTTAACTATTTGCCGGCTGATATCGCAAATAGTAAAACTGAACAAGTGAACATTTAACCTAAAAATTAAGACTGCGATTAATTAAAAATGTCAATGTCAAATAGATTCCTTATTACGCACATCTCGCAGGCTTTTGAAAGCTAAAAGACACTTGTGGTTTCGTTTAATTCTTATAACGTGTAACCAATGTAAATTCGTAAATAATTTCTAGGTACCAATTCAATTTTAAACTGAAAGTCCAGCATGTCTTATGAAAACTACATCATTTAAAATTAAAATCACCTTCATTTCTAAAAGATGTAAAAATATATGGTGCGTCAAATGTATTCCGTGGCCAAATGTCAATGTCAAAAGATTGTTGATCGATTTGACCGTATTCGCAACTATTGTTATTTTATTTTACTTTCGCGTATAATAATAAAAACTTTATAATTTACTTATTATAAAACACTTACCACATGTGTGGGAGACGCGTGATTTAATCTTATATATACTTAGTGAACATTTAGCGGAAGTGAAACATTGCTTCTTTGTGTCCAAACTTTGCGATCAGCTGTTAAACTAAAATGAACTATTATCTATCATATATCGTAGGCAATTATACAGCGAGCCTGTATGATATTATTGGTAAGTATCAAATTTTATACGTAAATAAGAAATACAAATTGAACTGAAAATTAAGGTAGTTTTCCCACAGTGAATATTTTCAGTTGGGTTCATGAAAAACAGAATTTTCTGACGTTGAGAACAGCCTACTTTATTGTATCTTAATTTTCTTGAATTTTACGTAAAAATTTATACTAAATTATTAATAAAAAAATGCTAAATTTTCTTCAAACAATATGATTAAAGAAGTATGATTAACCATGGAATTTTTATCCTATTTTCTGCTGACTTATTAAATATGAATCATATTGTACACATCTAGCATTGCCTTGTAAAGTTTTTTTAATTACCAAGTATGAAAACTTGATTGAATTTTTTTTATTCAGATTTCTTGTGCAATAATGTTCAGTATGTACTTCAGTAACTAAAAGGTGATAATTCTAAAAGGAATTCAAATACTTTATCATAGTTAGATCTTTTTTACTGATAATATGAAATTATCTTTACTTGTGTTTTTTTCTATACTTACATTATAAAGAGGAAAGATTTGTATTTCTGCATTATGTAAAATAACTCGAAAACTATTAGGCCTATTTAAAAAAATTGTTGCACTATTAAAAAGCTATGTTATCAGTGAGTAACATAGGCTATACTTTTATTGTTTTTAAATTTCATGCAGGCGAAGTCAGCAACAGCTAGTATTCAATAAAAAATAAAAAGATCATGTAAAAAATTTTAAGAACCTTTATGAAGTTGGTAAAAAATGTTGTTCAACAAAGTTGTTTTGTGTTTCTTGGTCAAGTCATTACACTATTTAGTTATTGACTTAAGCCAAAACATTTATGTACTAACTACTTAATAGTATGTTTAATACAAATAAGATTTTCAAAAGCAATATCTTACTAATATTAGAAATGCAAAATTTGGAATGGATGGATGCATGGATATTGGTTAGAGTTTGTAGCCTAAGCTGAATGGATTTTGTTTAAATTTAATAAAGATGTAGAGGATAGTCTGGAAGAATGCATATGGTACATATGTACTTCAGTTTTTTAAGTTTAACACAGACATCTGGGAAAAATATAGTCTTTACTAATATTGTAAAGAGGAAAGTTTTTTATTTTTGTATGTATTGAAATAACTCAAAAGTTACTGGGTTGATTTTGATAATTCTTTCACCATTTGAAAGGTAATATATCGGTGAGTAACATAGACTATATTTTATATTATTTTAATTTCACGCGGACAAAGTGGCGAGCAAAAGATATTATAATAAAGAGTATTTTTGCATGCAATAAATAAATTCAAAATATTCTAGGTTCATTTCAAAACATTTTCATTGAGTACTGTGTAGTATCTCGTGCGGTATTGCGAAGCCGCTGTACAGTTTGAATAGCACTATACCAATAGCAAATACTACGTAATTTGGTCACTCCAACTGGTTTTTAAGGTCGGTAAAATGTCAACATCAAAGCTAATGCATTTCGTTGACTATTATTAATATAAAATTACTAGCTGTCGCACGCGACTTCGTCCGCGCGGAAAAAATCAAAAACAAGTAGCATAGGTGTTCTTCCAGACTATCCTCTACATCTGTGCCAAATTTCATGGAGATCCGTTTAGCCATTTAGGCTATAAACTCTAACAATCATCCATCCATCTAAACTTTCGCATTTATAATATTAGTAAGTTTAGTAAGATTTAAAACGTACTTTGATTTGCCCATCACAAAACTGTTTCTTGAATTAATGAGTGATTTTCTTCGGTTTATTAATAACTTAATTATGCTGCCGATTTAAATTCGACCCATTTAAAAATGCGATACTTTGACTTTAAAATATTGTGTACACTGTTTTATTATATGTCGATTACATGTTTTGATCGTGTCATGTCATACCAGTTAAAATGTCATCGTAGTAGTAAAATAAAGATTTGTATTTTTGTATGTATCGAAAAATCTCGAAAACTACTGTAATGATATCAAAAATTCTTTCACTATTAGAAAGCTGCATTATTACTGAACGTAGGCTATATTTGTTCCTAGTTTTATTTTTAACCCTACGCTGAAGAAGTCGCGAACGATCTTAACATATCTACGTTTTTATTGGCCTATTTTCGTTACCGTTTACCATAAACAATGAATTTTCGAATGATGAAAAAACCTAGTAAAATCTGCAACAATGTTGCCATGTACGCCTCGGATAAATTCATTTTCCAATTTTGCAATTACGTGTACAGATAAAAAACATCCTGGGTACAAACAACAGCAAAAAGCTTGTAATTTTAAATATGGGAACGGTAAGACATTTACAAAGATCTCGGATTTTAAGTCCTATATTTTTTTAAATAAAAATATCAATAGTTCATAAGATTCGCGGAACGACATAATTATAGGCTCGTTGTATAATTTATTACGAACACGTAAAATATGGAGGCACGTAAAATAAAGCTTACTGTAGACTTCCATTTCGATACATGTGTACAAAAATTTCATATATTGTCTTCATTGATATTGATATATATTGTCTACACCGTTAGAGGTAGATCTAGAAAGAGATGGATGGATTGCGTGAAAGGTGACATGATCAAGAAGGGAATGATGTCTGATATGACGGATGATAGAGTTATTTGGAGGACGAAAACGCCGGTGCGCCGACCCTACGGGAGTATAAGGCAGGGAAAATTAAAAAAAAAGACTACTGAAAGAGACCTGAGGGTCTAACAAGACCACACTAAGTGCGGATTTAGCATGACAATTCTGTTTTTTATTATTGCTATGCTACATTTAAAGGAATATTTAAGTAACTATCAAACGTCTCTGAATACAGTTAAGTGTTGTCTTTACTGAATATTTATTCAATAACTAGCTTCCGCATGGGACTCCGTCCGCGTGGAGTTAAAAAAAAGGAAGTAGCCTATGTGTTCTTCTATACTATCCTCTACATCTATGCCAAATGACACCGAGATCCGTTCAGTAGGTTAGGCTACAAACTCAACATTCATCTATCCATCCATCTAAGATTTCGCATTTATAATCTTACTTCTTACTAATACTAATATTATAAATGCGAAAGTTTAGATGGATGGATGGATGGATGGAAGGATGGATGGATGGATGTTTGTTAGCGTTTGTAGCCTAAACGGCTGAACGGATCTCCATGAAATTTGGCTTAGGTTTAGAACATAGTCAGGAAGAACACATAGGCTACTTTTTATCCCGGGAATAGTTACGGTTCCCGTGGGATTCATTAATTTAGTTTTTTAATGTTTACTCGATCATTCTGCAACGGTGCAACATATCTTATTGAAATTTGGCACATATATAAAACAAAGTCTGCAGTACACATGGGATAAGCTTCATCCCCGAGAAATGTCCGGTTCCCGAGGGAAACGTAGCTTTTTGTAATTTTATAGTTTGTATGTTTTCTAAGACCACGCAGACGAATTTGCGGGCAACAGCTCGTATTAGTAATATATTCGTTATTTTTGGTTTAAAAATAAACTTGTCAGTGAAATAATTATCTTAACAAACTTTGCACGTCCTGTAGGGATACGATATGCACAGGACTATAAAAAATCCCATTTTTATCGCTTTTTTCTTTCCGGTGAATTTTTTATCTTTTACAAGATACATAATCATGGAAGCAAAGTTCAATATTTTTAACCGAGAGCCGTTTCTATTCTAAATTTAATTTTATAAATTATCCTTCATACTAATCATACTTCATATCATACTAATATTATAAATGCGAAAGTTTAGATGGATGGATGTTTGTTAGAGTTTGTAGCCTAAACGGCTGAACCGATTTCTATGTAATTTGGTAAGGATGTAGAGGATAGTCTGGAAGAACACATAGGCTACTTGGTTTTGTTTTTTTTTTAATTCCACGCGGACGGAGTCGCGGGCGAAAGCTATTACTGTAATAAAAATGTGAAAGTTTAGATGAAGGGATGTTTGTTAGAGTTTGTAGCCTAAACTGCTGAACGGATCTCAATGAAATTTGGTATACATGCAGAGGACAGTCTAGTAAGCTAGTAACTTTATACATTCTTGTATCCTCGATCTTTGATCACGTATTGTTTATCAAAGCCACTTGTATATAAATAAATAGGACTTTTATTGCCACAAAAACAAGCTACAAATGAAATCTTAAATACATCAACCTTAAAACTAGTAAAAAAAAGAAAATGTGGCAAAAGGCGGCAAGCTCGGCTAATGCAGAGACGGCGCAGGCCGTTTCTGCGCTGGTTTTCAGCTGGCCCCTTATATATTTTACGCTGACTTCCATGTTGGATTACTACCGATTCTCGGTTTTGAAAGGCATATTCATTTAATAAATATTCAATTATTACACATAATTTATGGCATACAAAGAAGTCTCTTGTGTGGTTTAATTCCTTTGTTATAAATAGCATTTTAAATTAACTCGTCTTTTAAAAAAATATATTTCGACGTACATTCATCAAATATAATGACATGTTGGTAAACCTAATATTACGTTAAGGACGGGTTCGATGAAACGGCTCCTACGCATAATATCGTAACTCATTTTTTGTGAAAAAATTTTTGTTGTCATTATCGAACTACTAAAAAAGATCCTTGTATTCTTGGATTAAAAATTTAAAGATCTAATTTGAATCATGATTTAAATGGTATATCATACTAATACTATAAATGCGAAAGTTTAGATGGATGAATGGATGTTTGTTAGAGTTTGTAGCCTAAACGGCTGAACGGATTTCGATGAAGTTTGGTATAGATGTAGACGATAGGCTAGAAGAACATACTAATTAATTTTGTTTTTTTTTTTTTAAAATTCCACGCGGACGGAGTCTCGGGCGAAAGCTAGTAATTTTAATAAATACACAATGTGCATTAAATTGGCTATGACAAGTGTATTTGTAAGTGAAAAAATGATTTTGTGAGTTACAATTATTTTCGTAGGAGCACTAGGACCGGATCGTGGACCGTCTCCGTACAGATGTCTGGACCTTTTTTGTTACCAACTGGTTCCAAAGGACGCATCAATGGAATTTTGAACTTGCCAGGTGCTTCTCTTACACCTGCTCCGTAAAGCTATGTTCATAACTGTAGTTACTTTATATGTAACTGTTACACGCGATTTCGTTTGCTAATAAAAAAAAACATAGCCTATGTTACTCAGTGATAACGTAGCTTTATCATGGTGAAAGAATTTTTGAAATTGGCCCAATACTTTTGGAGTTATTTTAACAAATACCAATCTATCCATTTTATATTAGTATAGATTAACTGTTACTGGCCATTTCGCCCGCGTGAAAAAAAATATAGCATATATTACTCGTTGATAAGGTAGCTTTTTAATGGTGAAAGAATTTTTGAAATCGGCCCAACACTTTTGGAGTAATCTTTCCTCTTTATAATATTAGAAAAGATGGCTGAGCAACATGGGCGTCGCTGGCCGATGATTTATTTCTAGAGTTGTCCAGATGTGGCCATTTTATTACCATATCATCGTGTAACGAAAACACTTTGACAATTGTTTACTTTTTTTGATTAGGGGGGCACGGACTATTTATCAATTCAGTCATCGTAATGATGCGTTCACATTGAACTCGGTTATAGAGTTTACAATCTGTATAAATTCGTCTTGATGTTAATTCATACTTGTTTCACTTGGCTAGTACAGTTGGACATTTGCACTCAACTGGACTGACATACAATGGCATAATGTGAACACTAAGTAGCACTAAAATCCATGCTTGGTTTGTAAACTATAGTGCCCTAGTAGGAACCAGGCTTTAATAAATAATAGTCAAGGTTAATTTCGTTAAGGTCCCTACACACTATTGCCTTGCCAAATTACGTATTATTTTTTTTTTATTTGCATAGTCGTCGCATCGTCTGTCGATTGTAGGTAAGCAACTAATCAAATTGTTGTCTATGGGCAGCAGTCCTTCACAACTTCGGCAAATTAAGATGGCCGCTTGTTCATTTAACCTTTTTGATATAAAATGCATAGCTCTTAACCTATTACTGTCGAGCTAGTGTATACGCGTCCTAAGCCTCGTTATTTCTCTGTCAAGGTCGGACATACTGACAGAATTTGTTAAAAGTCATTGACCTCATATGCAAATTATATAAAGAGAACATCAGATTGATAAGATAAAAGATCTTTATACAGGAGCTTTTGCTCTATTCTTCGTATGCAGTAACTTACGTAATCTTAGGTTAATATTTGCAACCTTTTCTCGGAAAATAACCGAAATAGGTACTAGCTGTTGCTTGCGATCTCGTCCATTAATAATGTAGCCGTTTAATGGTGAAAGAATTTTTGAAATCGGCCCAGTAGTTTTTGAGTTATTACAATACATACAAAAATACAGATCTTTCCTCTCTTCTCTTTCTCTTCTTTCTTCTCTCTCTTTAGAATATTGGTAAAGATCAAAATCAATATGTTTGAACACTTGCAAAGTATTTAAGCACAGTTGTAATACAGTAAAGGCAATTTATATTTAAGTGAGACGTTAAAGATTATTGAATCAACGGCAGATTAGGGGGGGGGTCATGGGGTCATGACCCCC